GCTAAAACGTCAAGCTACGATCTGTAGGAGCCGAGCAGCGGGTGAAACCGCGCTAGAGTAGCTAGTATTTTACAAAAATGTATAATTAGTATATAAGTCAAAACAGAGCTTCTAAACCAAAGGTACTTTCTACTACGTCAATTGCCACTCAAGATCAGTCTCTTAAAAGGCTTCAATCTAGAATTTATATTAAAACCAAAGTCCTATAAAAATATTCAATATCCCATCTACTTAGTGGAATAACTTAAAAATTTAGTGAATGCCAACGTAATGAGATAGGATTAAAGAGGCAACGTACAAACTTGTTGAAAATATTCCCCGAAAGAGTTATTAAATTCTTTCGATCTTTTATTAAATATCGAATAACTCAATCTCTCACAGTGGGTGGCGATGATATGGATACTAAAGGCAAAAAAGAATCGTATTTCTTTTTTCTTTGCTTTTTGACACTACATCAAAGTCAAAGCCACGAGCTATTATGCAAATTAGAACTTTATAAGAGGATTTTTAAAGACATGTGTGTGTTGCACATATCAGAAGTGTGTCAGTTCATTACGTGAAAGTGGATTTCATTTCAAAGCTTAGATACAGAAAAATGCTTTTTCTGTTACATTGAGTATTAGATATAGGATAATAGTACAAATTGTCATATCGTCGAGGATAGTGCAGATCCATGTATACCGAGTATTTTTTTTTGTTCAATTACAATACGATACAAGGTGGGATACGGTATAAAGATACGATATTTGTATTACATACGAGTACCTATATGTAGATACGATATATTATGTATCTCATCCAGTGCGAGGTATCTTTATATCTGGTTTTGCACTATCCCTGACTATAACAACAATATCTGAACAGTGATGAGGAAATGACGTTTCGATACAATTTTATCAGCCATTTAATAAATGACCTTGTTTGTTTACACAGTACTTATAATTGTATTCTGTTAGCCATTCATTTCACAATTCAGTTCGATTTCTGTGCGACTCACAGTTCTTATTTAACCTAGGCTATCGTTCAACTCCAGTGCCCCTTCCCTTTTCCCCCTTCAGCTGACGGATAAACGGAAATACAGTCGTACAATTAAATGACTATTCAACGTCTTGAATTTTAATTTACAATCGTGGTAATTCGAGATACAATACAAGAGCAATAGGTGCATGAACGCTTCGCTTGGAGATTGATAAACGAAGCTTAAAAAACAATACGAAACGCAACAATAATTAATAAATTCTGTGTAAACATGGTGTAGACACAGTGTAGACATCACGTAAACGATCCTAGACAGAAGAAGTTCTATCTTGAATGTGGAAAAACAAGTGTTAATTCCAGTAGTAAACTAACGATAAAGTTAGAGCACTCAAAGTTTAGAGCTTCGGTAAAATCTTTAACTACTTAGCAAGTTACCGTACACGTGATTCAGAGATACTTAGTTATTTTAGAGATTTACCTCTTCAGTTCAAATGGTAGATGTAGCGAGAAGCTTAAATTCAGCTTAGTGTAGAATAAACATAATATGTATTATGCGATCTTTTTTAAATTGTCATATGAAATTGTATTTTTCATTTATGTTAATATACAAAAACATGTCTCACATTTTACTAACGCAATGTTTAAAAAGATGAGAATTCCGCCGCGTAACATAAGAACATCGGAAAATTATCCAACAAATAAAAAACCTATTATCACAAGACAAGCATAAACGAGTTTAATTCAAATATAAAATGAAGTCGTAATTGTAATAATTTCTTTTATTAACCTCACCGCCATAACGTGGCAATAATAAAAATATATCAACCACTTTTATGGCGTCCATAATGCGATGAAAAATTCACAAAGCGGAATTGCTTTTAAGAAGATCTTCTCCCCTCTGGCTCGACAACTGAGATATTGTTAGCACCTTGAAATAATAAAACGGAACACTTTCACGATGTGGCGGGAATTAATTTCATTTAGCAGTCGTGTTAGGACTTGCTTTAGGGTCGAAGTGATGGTTTTAATCTCTGATTAATGTGATAAACCTTTTACTTGTATGTTTTTATTCGGGATAACAAGAACCTATTATTCAATCCGGATTTCTAACTTTACGTTTGCAAAATAATTCAAAGCAATCGTTTTAGTAGTTACGGCGTGAAAGCAACAGACAAATAAACTTACTTTCCCATTTGTAATATAAAGTAAGGAATAAGATTGACTTTGTTTTTTTATTAAACAATGATTAACATCGTGATTGGCTCTGATTCTATGAATGTAGTCGTTTATAGTTATCGAAGAACAAATTCATGAAATTAAAAAGTGAGCCTATTGGTAGCTTCTTTGACATAACTTATATTTAATACACACGATAAAAATGAACCTAACATCACTTCTATACTGACTCATTCTCAAGAAGCTACCTACCTAAATTCCAAGTGACACATTTATAATTTCCAACCAGAAAAATACAAAATGCTACCATATTTAGGAGCTGGTATTTTGTTTCAAGTTTAAATCTGGGCAAATACAAAGGTAGTGAGAGCATGTTACTGTTGGGAACGTAAAATAAACGCGGAGTAACACACAATTTGTTCACACTCCACGTGTGTATGCTGCGACAGACTTGAGTATGATAAAACATTTAGAACTTGTTTTACAACCTGTATATTGCACTGGTAATTTTGTTTTGTGTACGGAAGTACTCATTTGTGTTTTGAGTGTTTTTTGTTTAGGTTATTTAAAGTTTTTCTTGATAATAATTATAATGTTCCTCTGTAGACAGGCGCAGTGCATTTCAGACATGAATAGATTGGCAACCGGAGTTATATCACGGCCTCACAGAAAACGGCGTTAAACATTCACAGCGTTGTGTTTCGATAATTTGCCCCTGAGAATATTTCAACAATATTTTCCTGTTGTTCTTGATGATGATGATGATGATAATGATGATGATGACGATGATGATGATGATGATGATGATAAGGATATGATGATGACGATGATGACGATATGATGATGACGACGATGATGATGATGATGATGATGATGATGAAACTATAAGCCACCTATGCTATGCTACAACAGTATTTGACACATAACTTGACTCCGACTTCGAGATTACAAAAACGAAACGGAACGAAAGATAACGCAAGCAAGGATAATGCTTTACGAATGAGGAGACGACGGCTACTTGAGACCAAAAATTACGGTAATGCTAGTCCTGAGTTAGTCAGTGTTTACTGCTGTAAATCGCTGAGGAATTCCCTCGACTGTCAATGGTCTCCATCATCAGGTATACTTCAGACCTTCAAATATAACATAATCCATATAGATGCAAGGTTCTCATCAATATAAATGAATTAAGTCCAAGCACAACATAATTACTCCAAATATTCAAAGAGATCCCACGACAGTCTTCCTGCTCCATCATCAGATTTACTCCATAACTTCATTGTAACCCATATAGGTGCGAAGTTTTTATCGATATAAATGAATTTATTCCTAACACGAGGTAGTTACTACGTACGAGTAGTTCTACCGTTAAGAAGTTCCCTACGCCGTAAATACCTGGATAACTTCAGAAAATATATGAATCATGCCGACTGTCCCTATACAATTTGGAAGTTCCCCTCTATTTTCCTGGGTTTCCGTCATCAGATTCTGACCTGATGAATATGGGACCACCTGGAAATCATACCCTTGTGAACAAAAACAAAATTTCTAAGTCGGTTCAGGCGTCTTCGAGTAATCGGTAAAAATACATTAAAAAATATCCTGACGAATTGAGAATCTCCTCCTTTTTTGAAATCATTTGAAAAAGGGCATACAATACTTTTTATCCCGGGATTTCTTAAGGAGAAAATCGTCCCTAAAAAGATCTGGAACTTTGTGGGTAAAACCAAAAATCTGCCAGAAGTCACTATTTTACGTGGACGAAGTCGCAGGCAGAAGTTAGTTATTAATATAGAAAAAGAAGATTGAGAATAAGCGCGAAAATCAAATTTATTTCAATATTATTAATATAGTAGTTACGTAACTAAAATAAAACAATTCAATGAAAAAATTAAATTAACTAATACAAAACTATTTAAAGTATTCAATAATAGATAGTTCTACAATCCTGCTAAAAAATATGTAAATATCATATTAATAGCAATTTTATGAAACGAAGTACAATTTTCATATAAAGTTTTTCGTCTTACTTGACGTATGTTTGTAATTGTACATTATAATAGTAAAAATAAAAATTGTTAGTAATTCATCAAGTCGAATATGTTCAAATCACACTTAAAATCATAATTATATTGATTTTTAGTTTCAGATACAAATTCATTTTAATAGGAAAAGGAAAATACGCTCGATTTTATGGGTAGCATCGAAAAAATCAAAAATATACGTAACAAAATAAACTTATAAGCATATTAATTAAATTACATTAAATATGTATGTAAATATGATCTATATTAAAACTAATATGTTTTTATAATTTTGCGTGATTTTTTTCTCATACAATGATTGTAATATTTTGCCTCAAATACCCAAACTTTTATGGCAAAGTCATATTCATTTTCTCTTAGTATGATCTTTTTTCATATTTCTTGTAGATTCATAAAGCTTAGCTTTTATATCTGGATAGGAAGCCAGCAAATCCTTCCATTGGTCTAGATCTAAATAGACTAAATCGACCACCTGTAAATAAATATTGTGGTAAAATAAAAAGCGTTTTTAAAAAAAAACTTACTTGAATTAATTTAGAAAAGCTCTACTAGTTTCAAGTCACAACGGGGCTCTTATTAATGAAGAGCGAGAGGGAAAAAAACGTTGTATGCAAGGAGTAATTGCAGCAATTGTCAGTTAGATTAAAATTGCTAATTTTATTTCTTTTCTAAAACAATATACTTAATCTGTCATTGGCAAATCAGGTCCATAATCAAAAGCAGTTTTAAGGCTTATTAATATTTATAATTTTATAAAAGAAAGTCGTGTTTATTGCACTGTTTATTTTATTTAAGAACGGCTTAACCGATTTCAGTAGGAGTGGTAGAGTAGTATAGATAGCAGGTTGGTTGGTTGGTGTCGGTAGGTTGGTAGTAAATTGATGGAAGCGAGGCCGCTGGTAAAAGCTAAAAGTTTTCAAATAAAATATGTTTCACAGACAAGACTGCAAACCATACAAGAGATAAAAAGAGTACACTTCTTAAAATACTTACCGTTCGTGAGTAGTACGAGAAGTGGAATCCTACATTGACGAACAATCCCGGCATACAGCCAAAATATCCATTTGTATAAAGCACTGACATCAGCTTATTCTCACCCCTGGAAATGAAATTCATACTTAATAAAGAGGTAAAATTTGTAAGTTTGTATGTAGGGGGTAATCTTTGAAACCGCTGGTAGGATTGCCAAAATTTAAGCTACAATGTTATTGAGTGCTAAAGGCTATAAAACATTACGCTACAATCAAATGGAGCTGAGCAGCAGGTGAAACCGCGTGAGAGTAGCTAGTGGATACATAATTTTATACACATGCACATACAAAATAATAACAGAACAAATCCCAGATACAGAACAACTTGACTGTGATGACAATTCAAAATGTAGTAAAAACCAAGAGCTTGCTAGTAAGGAATAAAATTGTATAAAAGTGGCTTACGATTTGTCGATGTACCACTTTTCCACTTCCCCTTCATGGATAAAGTAAGTAATGTTGAAGGTATCTCCCTCCCTTACGATACATTTCCCTGTAAAAATAAATTAGGTGCAGATTTTCCTCCGAAATTAAACATCCTCATTATAAGTTGAGGAAATTCATATAATATATTATTATGTGGTAAGAAGTACTACTTCAATGATCACTTATTCTTGACTTTCTACATAAAGAAAAAAAGTAAGCATAGAAAAAGCACTAAACCAATAAAAAATCCAATCCCTACAAACAACGCATCAAGTTTTTAACAATAAACGGGTAGGCATATGCATGTATACTATAGTATATGTATACTAGGGATGATTACAGGGATGTATCCCTAGAGATAGAATTATATACCGGAACATAGTTTTACGAAAGCGATTCATTACTATTTCACTAGGAATATAGTTAAAATCCGGTTCTAGTATATAGTTCTAGATAGATTAAAGTAAATAAGTAACACCCGGTTTCTGAAAGGCTTGTCAACGCTAAAAATAACTCATCTCCTGTTAAATCTCTAGTCAAGTCATCTGATTGGTTGTTGATTATTCAGTCAACCAATCAGATGACATGTCGAGAGATTAAATTGATTTTAACATTGATCGGCCTTTCGAAAACCGGGGGTAAGTGTTTTAAATATATTCGTATTGCACGAAACATATGGTTGTCTCAAAAGAGTGGCAGTTTATTATCGTTTTTCCATTTTTCAAAAAATTTTTAACTTAATAATTCTAACATACTACAATTTGATACAATATGACTTTTTTGAGACAACCATACGTTTTATCAAACCTCAAAAGTAAAGACTAGTATTACCAGGAAAAACAACAGTCCTCTGCAACCTAGCTGCTAGTTGCCTTTTGAAATAGTCAGGCAGCATGCGAAATGTTGGAGGAGCTTCCAAGTGATGTATGTAAAGAGCAGTAAAGAGGTCCTGGCGCAAACATGGAGGACCCTGGTAAGCTAGATTAGGGAGTTTATCACCTTAAAGAAAAAAGTGTATTATTATGTATTGAATAACAATACTCGTTTACTTAACCGCAAAAATATCATGGTAATATATGAACAATATTTGTAATCGCAAAAAATATCATGGTAATATTTGAAATCTCAAAAAATATCATAGTAATAGTTGACAAATATTTTAAATCGCAAAAAAATATCATGAAAACATTTTAATTTTTTTGAATCTCAAAATGTAAAGAATTGATTTTGAAAACGCAAGAAGTATTATGATGATGTAATGATGATGAAATCAATTTTACCTTTCTGCCTTTTCCATAGCTGCACAGTATAAGCCCAAACATTATCCGATAAAGATCTACTAAGTCCCGAGTCAGTCAAATAGATAAGCATGCTTTTTATAGAGAAATTATACTGGTACAGTTCTCGATACTTTGTGTATGCTGCGTTAATAGCCAGTGCCATTATGTAGATATCCAATAGTTGGAGAATGAATGTCGTAATTACTTTGTAATATACTTCGTTTATTGATAAAGGCATTATCTGTAATATATTATAAACCCTATTACAATCTGACAGTGCAAGAATTTATAGTCAAGGACTTCTTAAATTATAAATTAATATTAATTAATTAAAAACAGAAATAATATTATTCTCTAAATAAGTGTGGGAGAGCCATGCTTTCGCAAGAATGGGTTTCCTCGACCAGAGTGATACCACAGCCGCACAGAAAACTGTCGTGAAACCACCACAGCGTTGTGTTTGACCGTGTGAAAACACGTGAGGCCCAATTCTTTCCCTCCCTCAATCCCAAAATCTGCAAATCCGTAATCCTCAAAAGGTCGGCAAAGCACTCGTAACTCCTCCGTGGGTGCCTATGGGCGGCGCTGATTGCTTAAACTATAATAAGGTTGCTCATTTGCTGTCCTTTTTTATAAAAATCTCTTAAATGCACATAGACAGACTTCCCTATCAATACATCACCTGTTTCTGCTCATCGACTTAACGACAAAACTTATTCACTGTTAACATCGTAAAATAGCACTCGAGAAAACTGAAATAACTCAATCAAATACTAATTACTATACTGCCCAAGGAAAATATCATAAGGAAACCTGAACTTATAATTTCTAATTATTGGTTTCATGAAAATTGGTTTCAAGCGTGTTGGCGCAACTACTAACGCCACCTATCGACGCACCGGGATACCACATTTTTATCAACGAACCAGAGCTCGCCATTGTCGGAAACCAATCACAGCACGTCGTTCAATTAGTTATAAGATCTGTTTCATTTTATTTTCATTATTACCTGATACACATTGTTAGAAATAACACGATTTTAAATATAACCATCAAAAGTCAAATAAAACCGTTCATTGAAGAGCACCTGCCTCCGTTCCTGTACAAAGCGTTTAATATCTATATCTTCTCAGTGTGAAATTAATGTCCTTATAGGCACGGGTGCTCGTTCGTCTCCACTGGAATCTGCATTTTGGAACGAGCAAATAGCTTCACTGACAGGACTGACCGACAGACACTTTTTATTATTTTTAAGCTTTGTTTGACGTTCAAACGTGCCTGTAAGGGTCTTATTGAAAATAATGATTTTGACTTTGATCTTTATTTAGCTATAGAACTTATGAGCTGGTAATGTGTGGCTAGAATAGTTTTCGTTTTTTTACATTCTATCAAAAATGCTTGTCACTTACCGTGTCAATATTTGTATGTGTATGTATAAGTAGAATGTACGTCAAAGCAACGATGTAATCGTTGGGCCAATACTTGGGCACTACAAAGGTGGGAATAGATACTGCTGGGTCTTCCTCGTCTCGAATATCTCTGGTAGCCCGCGCACAACCTAGGAAATAGCGCTACAGTAAATATTCGACTAGTTGTTTGTATGTTACGAAGTTCTAAGAGGAATTTTCGAGCGTTCCTTGAGACTTTATATCTTTTATTGCGTAAATGTGGACCAATGCTTAAGTAAGGCTAAAAGGTTTTCACAACTAACGTTGTTACCTAATATTACAATGTTATAATAAGTACTAACCTTCGCCCCTGTCGTCAGGATGTGTCCATTGACTGAAATCAATTGTTTTGGCCATATCCCGCATATCCCTGATAGGAATGGGAAACTTGCCATCTGTAACATTTAAAGAACAGGTTACTGCAAATAGTCCAAATTGTACTCGTAGGACACCTTGTATGTGAGGATGCAAATTATCTTAAGACTTTTTTTTTACCCTGGGCGGGGCAAGAGGGTAACGCTATGTCAGACTTACACCCGGTTTCTGAAAGGCTTGTCAACGCTAAAATTAACTAATCTCCTGTTGAATCTCTTCTCAAGTCATCTGATTGGTTGTTGATAATTTAGTAAACCAATCAGATGACTTGACAAGAGATTAAATTGATTTTAACATTGATCGGCCTTACAGAAACCGGGTGTTACTGACTAAAACTTTCGAAACGTTCGAACCAGGATCACAAGTCACGCTCGCAATCCTGACAAAATGAAACCTTTCCCTACCAGTAACAAATTGAAATTCTTTCAAATATAAATATTATATAGAAAACTTACTTCTCCTGCAAGCGACATACACCCAACCACAAGTGAAACAATGAATGACCAAAATCAAAATCGCTATCTTCAATAGTATTGGTGCCAGTCTTCTCTAAAAGTCAAAGCATTGTGTCAAGATAAACAAAACTCTATTATAAAAGCAATAAAGTATTTAATAGTTTTTATATATTGGAGCTATTATAGAATGAAAATACCTTGAAGCCTCTACAGAAATGATATTCGAAGTTAAAGAAATATTTCAACCGCAACATCCTCGCAAACTGATATCTCCAATCATTGTTGATGATTGTTCCAAGTGGAATGAGGAAACTTAGGATGTCGACATACAGAGCCCAATCTCTTAGTTTCTTCCGACCGACTCTTTGATGAACACATTTATTTTGTACTACGACCAGCTCAATCTACAAAAAGATAATAAAATAAAAAAATTTCAAATAAATATCACGATATGGTATTAAAAATCCCTGTCTATCCCTATACCGCTACGTATGCTGCATGATCTTTAAAACTACGCAGTGGATATTGATACGGTATTTTTAATAGATAGTGATTGAAGAGGAAGTTTTATAACGTATAATAACAATCATTAATTATTTTTTTTTCAATGTGATAGATCGTCAATCGGGCAGACGGATTACCTGATGGTAGGCAATCAGCGCCGCCCATGGACACCCGCAACGGAGGAGTTACGAGTTGCCGACCTTTTAGGGATTAGGGATTTAGGGATTGAGGAGGGATTGGGGGAGGGGAAGGATTGGGCCTCCGGTAACCTCACTCACACGGCGAAACACAACGCTGTGGTTGTTTCACGCCGGTTTTCTGTGAGGCCGTGGTATCACTCCGGTCGAGCCATTCGTGCCGAGGCATGGGTCTCCCACATTTAAAATGTATAAATTTAGTATCACCATTGCACCCATGCAATGCCGGGACGGGTCGTTATTTCTATAATAAAATGTCAATCCTTTTAAACTTTGGAGCTGTTCGATTACTTGTAATGTACTATAAAACACCTAATTCTGCACTAATTATACTGGAAGTACCATTAGAAGGCTGAATGCTCTTCAGATTCCATTTACGTAATAATAATATTTCCCTCAATCCGCGAATCGAACCCGAGAGCTCTTGTTTGGCACTCACTTGTGGCCTATGGTCCAACAAATACCTATAAAACTATGGACATATTAAAAAAATACTTACTGAATAAAAATCCGCTATGAAGTTCGCCAAATGGATTACATCACAAATAAAGAGTATTAGATATACTCTGTACCATAGATTGTGTCCGGTGGGCAACACGACGAAGGAATTGACACAAACGGTAGTGACGAAAGGTCCAACGAACCACGTCAGGTGCAAGAAATGCGAATACCATGAGCCATGGCTAACGTCCGTCGGGTAATCGTTCCACTAAGACAATTAGAGAATTTAAGTGCTAGAAGACTAAATTAAATGGTATGATTACATTTTAAAAGACTGTAGGAACACCTACAAAACTTTACGCTAGTAATTAATTGGATGTTTGACCAATAAAAATTGTCAAATTCAATACGTTTTCGTATTATGTAATATTATTTATGTTAATAAATGTTGAAAATGTTTTATGATTTTTTGACTTTATAAGAAGTATATCTATAAAATATATAAAATTCTCGTGTCACAGTTTTCGTTGCTATACTCCAAAACGGCTTGACTGATTTTGATGAAATTTTTGTGCTTATCCGGTATCTATTAAAATCGGCCAACATCTATTTTTCATCCCCCTAAATGTTAGACTAGACTAGGTAGTCCACTCCATTTTTTTTTATAGACATGTTTTTTATGATACAACATTCGAAAATACATATAATCCTCAATTTCACCCTTCGATCAACCCTTATTTTTAAGTAGCCAAAAACTGGTCAGCCAGTAGTATACATAATATAGAATGCCTATACCTATAGTGTTACTGAATAATTGAGTAGGGATGTAACATGCTTTTTCATCAAATAAATAGCAGTTATTTCTTAGAAATTAGCGTAAAAATACAAATATTAAAATGCTTTGTCAAAAAAACAACAAAGCATATTTCTTTTATTTTTAAAAAAAAAACGTTGCCCCACACTAGGATTTTCTCCTGTGTCGTGGGTGCGTTTACAAAAATACAATTCCACATACACACCACAATAATTTGTGGATCACACAAAGAGTTTTCCCGTGCGGGAATCGATCCCGCGACACGTTGCACAACAGCCAGTTGCCCAGCCACTGCGGCAACCGTGCAGTCAAGTATATTATATTTTAGCATATTGATATATTCTTACCGGTAGTTTGATTGTCTTTCGTCCTCGTAAAAGGTATTTAACTGTATCGTATGGATTCTCAAGCGTTACGTTCTTTGTTGCTAAGAAATCACTCTTATGTTGCGGGTTACGCATAATCGTACGGCGTACCTGAAATAAAATAAAGTCGACTATATTCAAACATTATTTTATTCAACTACGATCGTAAAGTTATTTGGTTCCCGAAAGGCTAAAGAAAGGCTACCATCTAATACACTTTTCATAAATGTAGTAAAAAGTTTGACTTTTTTTGAGAAATACGTAAACAGTCCGGTACTATCATAACATATTTTTTTTTAGATAACTAGGTATATGTATTCTCTGAACATAATTTTCATTAAGATTAAATGAATCAAATATGTAAAGTGAAAAATGATCTAGCCAGGAAGTAGATATTTTTTCACATTGCATATTTTTTTAGTATTGTCACCGCATCATGCATCATGTTCATCGTCAGCTTCGTCTTACCCAAGAATAAAACCCTTTAGAACTTCGTTTGTCAATAGCGTTAGTGACCACTCATTGTATAGGACCCTCTAGTAGAACTATAAATATGAAGCTACGATAACTTGATATCTTGACGTCAAGAACTAACCTCCTCAGTGATGATGCTTTGAAACGCATCTAGCTCAATATACAGAACATCGACTTTGTCTTCAGCCGTCGCCGTCACACGAATAGGTCGCTTCCTTGTACCTAGCAGCTGACCAAAAATATCTCCCTGTAAAGATAAAATTATATGGAGCCTTGAGCTATCAAAAAATAATATAAGGCTATCATAGCATGGTTTAGATAATAACTGTTCAGTAATTTATGTAAATTGGTCCACCGACAATTTTTCTATAAGCTTAAAGTTAAAACATGTTCATTTCGTGTTACTTTTGTATACATATATTAATGTATGTATAAAAGTTCTAAGGAAAGTTTCTAAAGATTATTCTTCTGACCTATCCAATTGCAAAATCGTATGCACATAAAGTTTACCATACCATAGTTATACCATCGCACACCTACTTCTTCCATGATCCACTGTATTATGGAACTAGAGTCAAAATAAAGGCAAGAACGAAAACTACACTAACACCGCAATAGGTACTTAAGAAGAGACCGAACTAAGCAAAGTTTATTGTAGAAATACCTTTGTAAGAACTATTAGTTTTCTGTCCTTTTTCTTCAGCACTACTTTCCCTCGATGTATAACACACAAGTAAGTTGAAAGATCGTTTTCCCTGAAGATGTCGTGTCCTTCAAGAAAGAACGCCTGTGTACTGACGCTCGCCAACTGTCTCTGCATTGCCTCACCGCCTTTGATTATAGTATCCAAAATACCGAATGTCCTAGAAAAAAAATGTTGTTTTCTTTATTATAGCTTCATGGAAATGAATAGTTACAAACGACATTGACGAACAAAAAAGTAAGGGGATTTAGTCTTGGGTAGACGAAGCTTTAATTAAGTTGTGACGACGTGCATAGAAGATACGGCGAAATACTAAAAATGATGTAAATAGAAAATTGATTTAATCTTATCTTAGAAAACTAGAGACTTCTAAACCCTACAAAAAAAATTACTAGTGACCTCGGCTTTGCACGGGTGTAATGCTGATATGAAACTTTTACCTATGGTTCCCTTTACAAAAAAACATGTGAACAAAATATTACTGAAAAAATGAAAATGTGTTGTCAATGTGAATTTTGATCAAGATTTTTATTATTTAATGTGATTTATAATAGATCGAATTTGACATATGTATGGGTGCTATTTTTTAACAAAGAACAAACTATGATACTGCAAGTATCTTATTTGTTAAAAAACTTGTACTTCGTAGGAACGACTAGAGCCTAAGAAACTTACTTTTTATAAAAGAAGTAATTCAAGTCCTGACGAAACACAACACCAATGCTTTCATTTGTCAGTTGAGCCATCCCAATGCCCTTCGTTCTGAAAATGGAAGTTTTAATCTAAATTGGAATAAGAATTAGTATTTTTTTAAAACGGAGTTTGTAGATAAGTTTAATAAACTAATAGTTCTTCATGTTTTCTAGTTGCGTTATTTGTAGGTATTAAGGAATTAAAATCTTAATGTATTTTTGGCTTACCTCACCCAACAATACCTAAAATGTTGCATAGCTTTCTGGATAATTGGTTTCTCGACTCTTTCGGAAGTAAGAAACCTGTCTAGTTGGTTTACAGAATGTTGAAATAAAAAGTCTCCACGAGCATCCAACACCAAAAGGGTCAAAGCGTGACACGATATGAACCTAAAATAAAAAGTAAAATTTATTTCCTTTATATTTTATAATTTATAACCTTTCAACCATAGTCATTCGAGACACAATAGAAGAACAATAAGCACGCAAACGCCGTTCGCTTTGGATCTGATGAATTAAATAACTTCAACGTAAAATCTTAATTTACTAAAATTTATTATTGTCAGTTTTTGTCTTATAATCCTCAAATCATTAAATCTCTAACAAAGGTTAGCAACGTACTATTAACACCTCTGTTTTTGCGGGTGTCCATAAACGACTTCAAATATTTACCCATCAGGTGGATCGTCTGCTGATTTGCCTCATTATTCCATAAAAATGAAGTAATAACTAAAAATAAAACTTATTTTACCACAAGCCATATAAAATCGTCTTTTCTGAAACTAATTTTGTTTAAAAATTCCTATTCAGATAACGGTACGTTCACATCATCACCTCGTCCATCGTTAGCCTCTTTGCGGATGTGCCTTCAGCAAAGCAGAGGGCGCCCTATACTACATTTACTTTGACGTTGTCTGCACCAGAGATATATATACCTATATAGTATATGAGTATATGTACTATGAAAGTCTCCACTCGAGAACACCCTATCCCAACAAAATCGAAATCCGTGTATGCAGCCGGGAGATTTCTGAGAATAAGCTTCGCACACAACATGGTAATACCAAGTACCAACAATATCTATGTCCAATTTACTACCGTTTATATTGTACCAAAACATATTTATTGTCTAGAACTCAACTACTGCCTCGAAAAAATACATCTAAAAATATGAAAATAATCTTAACAGTATTACTAAATCGCTATTTAGGAATGTTTTCACTTATTTAAAGACTAAAGATTTTATAATATCGTAATAAACTCATCTTGTGTATTTTCGAAATTGAGATATAATGTTTCATTATCGGCTATCATAAATCTTAATTTATTAATTCCTTTTTTATTTAAAATTTAAATGATAGTTAATTCAATAAAACAATCATTTGTGTGTGTAATCACCAAAATATAAATCCAATGACGAGTAGACAGAATCCAACACCGAAATTCCTGTTATCGACGAGGAATCTTCCAAAATGCAACCCCATCATACCATTTTCAGCAAGACTTAAACTTTCTGCGAATATCTGCAAGATAATTTTAATTATTTTACACAAGTTGTTGTTCGTCGGTTTTCGGTTGAGTCGAACGATTCGGCATGGCTCTCCCACATAGGACTCTGGGTAGGCTAACCAAACACGAGCGTACAGTGCGCACCTCAAGAGCCAATAGATCACATCAGAAAGGACCATGTTCAGCCGGGGTAACAGAAGCAGTTTTTATTTAGTAAGAGTCTGACACCCCTTCTTGTCATATCTAAAAGCAAGAGAAATAATTTGTTGTTGTCAATTCGAGACTCCTCAAAGAAAGACGTTAAGACCTCTATACATCTATACGTATAGAAAAAGCAACATTACACTACAAAAAGGTTGCATATTTTCTTAACTCGTCAAAGTTAAACAAAGTCACTAACCAAATGCAAATCATCCCAACTTAAATTAAAAGGCATAGTCATCACATCCGGCATCCAGCACGTGTCACGAAGAGTGACAGAAAGTAGCTCCATATTTCTTTCATTAAATTCATATTTTACACAAACAACCATGAAGTAGTGACTTGCACCCAGTACAAGAAGACTGTTCACTAATTGCCATTTTACTATCTGAGGAAAAAAACAAGGAACAAGCATAATTAGATACCTGCCTACTTATATTATATGACGTAAAATTTTAATATTAAATGACCTTCAATATCCTCAATACACTAGGATTTTGTATGGGTTATAACATAACTAGAAGTTTTATAAAAATTTAAGCAAACAATAAATTAAGCCATAATTCCAGCCGAGGTTGAGGGTAAGCGCAATAAGGCACCGCAGCCTCGGCCAAGAGCAGGAGAAGTAATGAGGCTTTTTAGTCAGTAAGAGTCTGACACTCCCTCCCGCACCACCCTGGACGGGAGAAGTCTTTGACGATTTCCTCCTGACAAAAAAAGGCGTAATAGTAACGGAAGGAGTATATAATCGTACGTACATTAATTAAAGTACGGTTCACTGTCGGAAGATCACTAATATATTGGAAATATGCAAATAAAATATAGATATGCGCGAATTTGCACACAGTGTTTATTAGAAAACTAGTGTCGTCATCGATGTCTGCCGCTAGTACAGCCTTGAGAACTTCATATACGGGAACAACTCCAATGAGGTCCAATATGAATGCTTTGGTTACATAATTTAGTAGGCATTTCTTTGTGTCTGTTATCATTATACCACGATCGTCGTGATATGCGAGCTGCAATAAATACATACATTAACTTAACAAATATCAGGAATACATGGAAAAATATTTCTAATCATTGTTTTCTAAATAAGCGTTGTCCCATAGGTTTTTTTCTGTGTCGTGGTTGTGTTGACAAACATACAAATTTACATACACAAACCACTCGGCTCCGTGCGGGAATCGAATAGTAACACGCTGCAGCCAATACGCCAGACGTGTAGTGCAATGTGATGCAATTTTAGTTACACTAACTTTTGCCAGCGGCTTCATCTGCCATACGGGGGAATAAGTAGCCTATTTTTAACTAGTTTTGTTACCATATTATTCTATATTTATTATTTCAGATCCTTTTACTATATTTTACGTGAAATACTAAAACATTCGCGTTTATAATATTGGTATAATTTATAGTCTAAATTCTTACGAATAATTTCAAGATAATGTCGATCCATCCGATGCAATCGCAGAACGCACTGATCATGGTGAACACCCATCGTGACACAGCTCCAACACCACCTTTAAATATGTATTTTTTTCTTATTTCTGCAAACGAGCTGGTGCATTACTTGATGGTAAGCAATCGGCTCATGGACACCCGCAACACCAAAGGAGTTACGAGTACGTAGCCTTTTGCGGATAAGGGTTTCGGATACCTATTTAAGGATTGGGAATGGATGGGGATTAGGAGGCGGAAGGATTGGGCCTCCGACAACCTCATTCACACGGCGAAACACAACGCTGTGCTTGTTTCACGCCGGTTTTTTGTGAGGCCGTGGTATCACTCGGGTCAAGCCGACCCATTTATGCTAAAGCTTGGCTTCTCCCCACTTTAAATATTGGTTAATTTTAAATTTAAGTTAATTATAATTTAAAAAGTTTTCGATTAATATGAATAGGAAGATGATGTGCGTCTAGTAACTTACCCATCACAGCAGCCGAAGAGATGGAAATATATACAACAATTGTTCTAAACATCAACCAGGTTTGCATAAACCTGTAACAATATTTTTTAAACAATATTTTAGAGCAAATGTATTTGGAGTAAATCTGTATTAATTCTCTCTTCCCAAATATAGTACAGGTTATCCAACCTGGGTATTTTATTTTACATCCTATTTTATATCCTCAAATTATATCAACTAAAATTAAACTTCCAACGTTGAAAAACGAAACAATGAAACAAAGAATTTATTTTTGTAAATAGGCCATAATACATGACTTTTCTTCAAAATGAGATGAAGCCGACATTTCCTATCTGACTACTCTGAGAAGAAATGCCAAAACAATTTCAAGAGGTCTGTCTCTTTAGGTAGAATCTTATCCATTTTAAAATTTAATATTTAGTTGTCTTTATCTATTTAGTTAACTGCTTCGTAGGTAGAAAAAGTCTTAAATAAATTTATTGCTTCTTTTGGGTTATCAAAATTCTTAATGAGAAATTAGCGAAGTCATTCATCATCTTCCTGCCCTTGTCCCGTTTTATTTGGGGTCGGCGCAATATGTTTTTTCTTCCATTCTGTCCTGTCACCCGTCACGCTTTCGCTAACTCCTCTGTCTTCCATATCCCTTCTCACACAATCCATCCATATTTTCTTTGGTCTCCCTCTCCCTCTCCATTCATCCACATTTATACTCATGCTTTTTTTTTTGTAACATGCGTGTCATCTCTCCTTTTCACATGGCCATGCCAAGACTAATGGTTCCCTTTCATTGATATAATTTAATTAAAAACGTCATTTTGATCTCACTTGGATTCCGGATCTCCCTGAAAATCACCTTCAAGTGGCAACGAACGATTTTCTTGTAATTCAGGAATAAGTTTTGCTGTGGATATCATTGACAATCTTGTAACATGTATTCGCTCTCTTAATTTTTGTTGGTACTGTAATGTATAAATAGTAGATAGATACACTATGTAAATCTATTACTATATCTAATTATCTATATATAATTATTTTAAAGCTGGAGAGTTTGTTTGTTTGTTTGAACGCGCTAATCTCCTGAACTACTGGATCGAATTGAATAATTCTTTTCTTATTTTTTGTACATTTTTCGAGAAAGGCTTTTGGCTATAAAACATTACGCTACAATTTGTAGGAATCAAGCAGCTAGTGAAACCGCGCGACAGAAGCTAGTATTTAATAAATTTGTATGGTTAACTTACATCCCTGCGATGCAACAAATAGTTTTTAAACATTTCGTCGACCATTGGTGTAAATTCTTTAACACAATTTTGCAAATATTCATATTCCAGTGAATATTTTTTGTAGATATCATAAAATTTATTTATTGGTATGTATATAGTCTAAAACAGAAAATAATGTGATTCATAAAGACGATTAGTAATTAGTTTAAAAAAATATGAACACAATACGAAATGACAATGGTGTTTTAAAAATGACCATCAAAATATTTTTAACTATCGGCCCGCCCCCGCTTCGCACGGGTCCATCTATCTCGCTATCAAAGGGTCACTTTTTCCTAATCTTCCCCTCTACTTTTCTAATTATTTCTTTCATAAGAACCTTCTTCTGCCAATAACAAACATAGCAAAATTGGTCCAGGCGTTGTTGAGTTATGCGCTTACCAACACATTTTGCGATCCATTAAATACTTCAATTTTACTTGCCTCACAATCAGTATACGCACTGTATGATCTCATCGATTCTTTGCCAAAGTATACAGCAGCAATCGATAATAAAGAACCAGGACCATAATAGGTCTCCACTATTTCACCGTTTTCATCATGAGACTCTACTTTGACGAACCCCTAAAATAAAAGATTACCATAACATTGTAAAAGAAGAGTACCTATCATGAGACATACTGAGTTGGCTGCATTGACATCGCTGCGATGCACACGCTACTCATGAATAAAAATCCCGTTGTGACTTAAAACTAGAAGAGCTTTTCTCAGTTAATAACGTGAGAAAGTCATTATTTAAAAAAATATGTTACTGAATAATTTTGATTTCTATGTGATACAAAAAAGTGGTGGCGTAGAATGTATGATGATGATAACACGTACACGTTTATAATTAATTATTCAAACATTCAGAACATTACCTGAACAATCCATGTAACATTCTTAACTTGCGTTCCAAACATAAATATTATCGCATTTTTGGGTAGAACTAAAAATCTGGCCATGCAAGCTAATTCTCGAATTAGACTGGGATCAGCGTGGGTAAACGTTATTGATTTCGATATTATTCGCTGGGCCACTTCACCTTGAGCTTTCCAATATACCTCAATTGGTTCTTCTATCATCGAATTAGGCAAAATTACGTCATGACCTTGATAGTATTTCCAATGGCATATGAAATACCTATCAAGCCTTCTCAGTAAGTCAACGTGAATACTGTAATGCTCGTAATATTTCTTAAGATTTGAAACAAACGATTGGTAGCTAGACATCACCCTACTTTCCAAATACATATATGATACGAACGTACTTCTACAATATAAGAAAATAAGGGAAGAAATAAACGTGATCACTATCCCGACATATGTGTCTGATAAATTCATAGCCACATATTCACAAAATGCCCATTCAAAGGCCCAATTGATCGCGACCCCAGTTACTGGATTCATTTCAACACAATCGACCGTTACGGTTCTGGAACACAAAACTTCTCCAAAGAAATAAGTTACTGTTAACTGAGGTATGTAGTTCGTCAGCTCAAATACGATGTGACTTGTCAACACTACATAAGTAAAATTAATTAATATTAGTTGCCGACATATATCCACCAAAGGATTTCTTCTAATATCCCACTTCAAATAGATTCCATAAAAAAGCACATATATTTTAATGAGTCTGTTGAATTGAAAAGTGTAGTAATACTGTGGTGCCCCTACGATAAAAGCTAAATCTTCAATCCAAATTGATGACAAAATATCCAGCATAAAAGTAAAACTCTTGAATCGTTCAAACAATACTGTTGTGAAAGTTGTTGTCACTGAATCCTCTGTTCTTACTGCTGTGAATAAGGAAATTGCAATGTCTATGCCATATATAGTATCGGTGTACAAAGTAAAAAACGTAAACCACGAGGGAATTTCACGTTTCACCAGATTTGGTGGAAAGACACATAGCACCATCATTACAGTTACAAAAACAATCCGGTGCCAAACAAAACCAAATTTAGACACCGGATTTATAATCCACGGAAACGAGACATTAGTGAACATAGATTTAGTCTGGAGTTCAGTTGGAGTGCAAAGCACCAGTTGACCTAAATATTTCGCGCAGTGGTATATTGATTCCTCACGTGGTAAATCACATCTGATTTGTTCTCTAGAAAATCCAGTGTGTTCCATTACTTTTTCAAAAACTTCATATATTTCCCACCAACGTCTGTTAATCCAAGCTATTCCTTCGTCTTCATTTCTGTCCAGTCCTCTGATAACCATTTTAGAATTAAACAGTTTTTTTGCATGATTTAATCGATCTCTTATGGCATCCATGACAATTTCTCTATCAATTGGATATTTGTGTAAAGCTTGTATAAGATACTTACGTTGGACGACATATACTTCACAATACGTAAGACATAGACATGCAACCTTTCTGTTATAGTTGGGTACACTAAAATTAATATCTCCGAATATAGTACCACTTGTAACCGAAAATATAGGAGTGATTCCATCATCTGCTGAAATAAGCTGAACTATCCCTGATTTAATGTAATATAAAGAGCTTGCGGAATGGTCTCCTATAAAAAATCTTTCCCCAGGCATTCTGTACGAAAGTTGAACGTATTCACTTAGGTATCGTTGAAGAGGAAATGACGTTTTTCTCAAAATCGGACTATGGAAATACAAAGGCCAAAGTAAATCTTGTTTAATTTCTAGTCTTAAATATTTCGGTATTTCCGTTGTAAACACCATAGTTATATGAACAACACCACTTCGCTTCCTCCAGATAATTTTGTAGACATTTTCAACTTCTTTGTCTGCATTGGTGGTAGGATTCCTTCTCTTAGTCTCTGCAATAATTTTCCTAGAGACGGGATATTTATTGCAAACTCTCCGCAGTCTAAGTAATGATTCAGCAAATAACTTTGGTATTACAATAAAATGATTTAGGATATAAGCGCATATTAGAAACATGCAGACTATTACAAATTCTAAGATAGCCGACGGTTTCGTTTCGTTATCCAAAAAAATTTTTTGAGTGAATGAAAATACAAATGTATATGCGTAGACGTATGTAGTGTATCCCACGTCCGTTTCATTCAGCTGAAATTAACAGAATACTATTGTAAATATATTATAAAATATAAAAGAAAATTAAACTCTAACAAGGTTATACGTTAAATAGGCTAAATATTTTGCTAAGTGGCTACGATTGTCATATTGGCCACTTATTGAAATAAATTGGATCAAAACTAAACCTCGCACATAATTTAAAGAAAAACATAATAACCTTATAAACAACATAAGCTCGCCAATCGTAATAATTTTCGATTCCTGTACAATGCTTGCAAAAACCTTCTTCAGTGAGCAGCAACCAGAAACAAGCAATGCAATTCAATGTCATGCATAGCGTAAGGGAGTAGCCTACCAAAAGGTTAAAGGAAGAATGTGTAGTTACCAGGGAAAAGTATTCTGTTACCCTGTAAATACTGAAAGGCAAAAGTTAATATTTTATAAACCTAAATTTATGAATGTACCTTAACACGGCATGGTTATGGTACTCACATTAGAAATTCATTAAACGCAAGTATATTTGGCCATAAGCGTGGAACTGGACATGGATTTGGCATTACCAAATGCAAGAAAGGAATAAGAGATATTATATCAACTATCAACAATCCTGCGGACTTTGGTAAATGTTCACGACGCATGGCTTGGTCAGTGACTTGTCTGAAAAAAAGAACATTATTATAGAACACATATTATACACAAGCTTTCTTCCAGGGGCCTAGCCCGCGTTATCCAGATGAAAACTAACATATTTGTTATTATACCTATATATAATCATCTATCATAAACTATTTCTCGGCCATTTTCTATTAAAATCCATCCAGTTTTTTTACATGTAAGAGGTTCCAACATCTATTCATGTACACTTACAAACTTTTGTGTTTATAATGCCTGTAGGATAATATAAAACTTAAATCAAATGACTGAAAAATAGGTACTAAAATGTGAAAGGTTTATGTTTAGTCGAGGATGCAAACGGGCTGATGTTAATGACGATACATGGATTTCTTAACAGGCATAGTCTCACTTACCTATGTACAATATGAAGAAAAGTGTCGATTCCATAGAAAGCGTCACAAAAATACCAATAACAGTATTTTATAAACAACAAAACTGGCGTACGATCCATCACATCGCTGCAGTACACTATCGGGTATACTGATTGTATGGGACCCTGGAAGAGAAAACATATTTTTACCACGAAATTAGCAACTACTAAAGTCTGTATGTCGCAATGTATTTTCACATTTAGATAATTAAAAGCCTAGCCCGGGTCGCAGATTGATCAGAAGGAACAGGGGAGTTTTAGTCAGTAAGCGTCCGACGCTCCCTCATAACCGTAACCATAACCTGGGCGAGAGAAGTGATTTTTTTTTTACTCTTTATTTATTATTAGGGACTTTTACACGGACGTGTATGCCAGTCCCATCATACCTTATACTAATACAATCTAACTAAAACGTAATCTAGCGAACATAAATACTTTGGCGGCAGCCTCCGAATTAGGTGTAGATAAAAGATTGTGATATACACCTACATTATACATATTTAAGTTTAAGTCCTTAAATAATTTTACTCGGTCAGACTGAAATCTGGCACATTCCAACAATAAGTGTATTACATTTTCCGGTGTTTCACATACATCACAATTTGGTGAGTCAGATTTTTTCATTAAAAATCCAAACTTATTGAGGGGCAAGTGTCCAGATCGCAGTGAAGGGATATGATGATTTTTCCTCCTCAAAAAAGGTACTTCAATATTATCTATCCATTATATTACAAACCTTTATTAACGTTTCATAGATCAATAATAAAGGTTTCATTTTCTTTTTTTTTTAACCTACAATAAGTTACTAATAATAATAATTCTTACCAGTACAACCTTTAACAAAACGCTACAAAGTACGAACAGCTGAAAAACTGGATGAAAAGGTAGAAATATTAGGTTGCTCCATTCTATCTGGCTTTCTTCGAGGGTTTCTGTTTTAGACTCAGGTATCTTGCTAGTTATTACTATTTTGTCAGTTGATCTGGATCTCTGGCTTGGAGGCTCATCATAACCTTCACTCCACTTCATAGGCATGGTATCAATTTTATTTATATTTATTGAATTAAAGACATTTTACCTGCTTCAACACAAAATACCTTTGTTGTGACAAATGACAAGCTTTCAAATACAGAATTTATTTTGACTTCTGTTTTTACCAAAGGCATAATGCAACCTTAAGTTATAAGCATATAATATCTGTGGTTTATAATTAAGCGAAACACCTTTTTACTTTGACATTGGTATACATATATATTATATTGTTACTACACTATTGTATTAGAAAACTCCTGCGATAATAGTTGTACTTTGGAAATAAATAAATATCAATTAATTAATAAATATTCTCATGATGAAAGTAAAGTTGCTATTGATAATCTATGCTCTCACAAACTTGTCTTAGCTCCAATTGTACGAATCAGGAAAAAAGTAGTTCAACAATGCTTGGTACCTACCCAATTTTCATTGGAAGTCTATTTTAGGTTTTGTTCTCTATAATTTTTTTCTATGCGCATTCTGACCAAGTGGGCGTAAAACTTAACAGGCTCATCATTAAAATTCTGATCTGATTCCTAGGTGAAACAAAATTTTTGAGATAAGGTCTTTGCGAAACTGTTAACGTAATAGGGTATAAATCATGACTTATTCTTTAGGCACCGCTAATTGTTGTGCTGGCAGTTGTTATCAAGTTGAAAAAATATCGAAATTTTATAATAATGTTAAACTTGTGAAATAAAATCGACTTCAAGTTTTCATCATAATTATATTTAAGGGGTAAAATCTAATTATTTACACTTTGTACTAAAATAAGAAAGATACGTAATTAAATATAACATGTAGGTAAACTTAATGCTATTTTAAAATTATGTCGAGCGAAACATTATCTTTAAAAGTAATGAAAAATTCATTTCAACGAAATCTAACATAACATAATTAGTTCAAAACAATATCCCTGTTAAGATAATTTTATTATTATTTAAAAGATGTAGGTACTAAATAAATGTCTCTATGTCTTTATAATACAAAATCAAAAAGGTTCAAATTCTACCATTTTTATTAAAGAATTCTACATTCCTAATCTAGGCACTTCTATTATAATATAGTTTTTTTTTTGTTTTTTTTTTCAGCTATGACACAGTTTACAGTTAGGATGTTTTAACTGTTCACAGTGCGAATTTGTATTGCATTATTCTTAATATAACATTGTTCATTACAATATTATAAATAACTATCCTCAAATGTTCCTCTTCGCTTCAGTGGAGGGTAATCAGGGCCTGAAAGCATAATTAAAAAATTATGGTTATTATTATTTTAACGTCGTGAAGAGTTGATCCAATACATTAAACACTATCTATTTGTAAAGATAAATTAAGAAAACTCCAACTGAGCGAGTCCAATGACACAGGTAAGTAGTATAGTTACAAGAGTTGATCTCCGGCCACTGTAAGCGCGGGTACGGTGCGTAACGCGCGCTACGCGCGCCTCAAAGAGCTAATACGCTCAACGCTCAATCAACGGAATTAAAACGATCGAAATTTAGCGGTGTACAGATACATATAAAAACTGCTATAGCTAAGTGAAGCTTGAATGAGTAATGCACAATTAATTACCACAAAAATATGTAACACAGATCAAAGACCCCGTCATAAGTGACAAAGTTTTTAAATAAATTTAATGATATATCCTACAAATAAATATTTATAAAACGTAAAAGTGAAAGACTCGTACAGGTTTTTGGTCATGTTTCTTTTCTGGTTTTGTGCTAGTAAAAAGCATTCTTTTGATTTCTGGGTAGCTCTCTATCAGGTCTTCCCAATTTGATAAATCTAAGTAGACGAGATCCACAACCTGCACAAATAGACATTGAGGTCAATTGTTACACTTAGTTAAGAATGCTGGTACGCTGGTGCTGACTGGACTGAAACAATAATATAATATTTCGTCGCTTTTGCCCGCGACTCCGTTCGCGTGGAATAGTGACTTGCTGCAGATTTTTCGTATAAAAAACTATCCTATGTCCCTTCTCGAGTTCCAAATTATGTCTGTACCCAATTTCACAGAAAGCGGTTCAGTAGTTTTTATATTATTAATTTTATTATATTTTTTATAAAATGACAGAGATTTTAGGAATTTGAATTCAATACGTTCAAAAAATAGCCTAATTTTGAAGGTATTGATTAAAGTTTTACAAAACCGTGAAACACAGTTTTATTCAATTTGGTTTATGCTCACCTAAAACGGTCATTGGCCAATAAAATGTCATTACTAAAATTAAAATAGTTTCTCTTGGCACACTCTTGATCGATGTCACCAAAACTAATGAAAATTTTGGTTAAGCGTTATTATAAGATTAAAGGAAAATATTTTTGTAAAATCTAACCGTCCGTGAGTAATAAGAGAATCGAAAGCTAGCACTACGGATTACTCCAGAAATGCATCCGAAATAGCCATTCGTATACAATATAGACGTCAATTGTCCTTCACCACTGCGAAGAAACAGAAAAAAAATGATTAAATTAACTTGCTTAAACCATGGCGTTGTGTTTCGCCGTGTGAGTGAAGCCGGAAGCCCAATCCTTTCCTTACTTAATTCCGAAATCTCCAAATCCCTACTACTATCCCAACCTAAACCTAAATTGAAAAGGATGGCATCGCACTCGTAACTTCTCTGATGTTGCGGGTAACCCCAAGGGCGGCGCTGATTGCTTAACGTCAGGTCAGACCGGAGATCTGCTTATTTCCTGACCTTTCACATAATATACAAACATTTATACCACAGATAGACAGTTAAATAAAGAGAAACGGCTAACGCTTCGTAAGAAATATAAACAAACTGTATCTTGTGTTTCTAACATTTAAGCAAGAGACAAACAAACAATTCTGAGTCCCCTAATAAATAACTTAAATTTCAAGACACTTACGACGCATCGGTAAACCACTTTTCTACTTCTCCCTGATGAATAAAGTATGTTGTACTGAAAGTATCACCCTCTCGTACAATGCACTTGCCTGTCATTTGCAAAATTGCGTATTAAATGTTATATTTTGTCAATTATAAAAAAAAAACAATGGATTAATACAACAATAACGAAGCATTACAATTCGAGCACTAAACTAAATAAAATAAATAGAATAACATATTCTATTTATTTTATTTTATTATTAATAAAAATATATTTTAATCTACAACCACGACCGGCTTTCAAAGTGGCGTCCTCTGTTTTTTTAAATACCCCCGTTGTTTCACAGCGAACATCATACCGAATTATTATTATTATGTGAAAGAGTCACGCTTCGAGAAGAATGGGCCTGCCAGAGTGACAGAAAACCAGCTTAAAATATGTAGCTTGCGTTGTTTTTCGTCGTATGAAGTTATCAGAAGCCTAACTCTAATCCCCGAACCAGATTCACCCCGAACCCAACTGATCCTAGAACCGACTAGCAGCCATGCTTAGAACTCATCTGTTGTTGCGAAAATTAATAGTTAGTAGACTTGTTCTACAAAAAAGCAATAACATAATCAAATACTATTTTAAACGGTTCCAACCTGGAAATACAACTAGTCTTGAAAATCTTGAACATAACTGTCTTTTAAAGTAGTCAGGGAGCTGACGGAACGTCGGAGCGGATTCCAAATGATGCATGTACAGTGAAGAAAACAGATCATTTCGTAAACATGGGGGTGCATCATACGCTAATTCGGGAAGCCAGTCCCCTAAAAATAAAGATATAATAAGGAGGATACACCTTGAAATTCAAATTTCTTAAACCTTCAACAAATCATTTCAAACGTGGTGATGTAATAAAAATCGTCTTTCAAAATTCTTACTACTTCAACTGCACAGGTCTAATAAAATGAAAATTTTAAATTGATTTGGGCTCCCTTACCTTTTTCTCTGGCCCACAATTGATCGGTATACTTTTTAACTATATCGAGTATAGCTTGGTTTATTCCATTCTGAGCTAAATACATCAACATCTTTTGAACACTGTAGTCATAATTATATAGAACGCGAAAATGTTTAAATGCATAATTAAATGCCAAAGCCATTATCCAAATATCCAGTAAATACATGATGAATGTTACAAATATTTTGTAGTATAATTGATTGAGGGACAATGCTATTACCTGAAGAAAATGAAAATAAAAATAAAGGATATTCCAGTCTTAAAATAAAATCAATACAAAAAAATATTAAAAAACTATAATAACTTACTGTATCTATGCTGGTATGGGTATGGATAAGCAAGATATAGGTCAATGCAACCACATAATCGTGAAGCCAATATTTAGGCACTACAAAAGAAGGATTAATTTTGCCGTCACTATCAATAAATGTTCTTGTAACTCTAGCACATCCTGAAAAGTATTAAAATCGTTAGATGTTTTGTTTTGATTATAGTTGTCCTGTATCTTTAAATCGTTAATAACCTACAACAGATAGGCAACGCACTTATAGTTACTTCTTAGATATTACAGAGTTTCCATGAGTGGCACCGATTACTTACCATCAAGTAATCCACATTCTGTTAGCCGACCCATCCCATAAAAAAAACAAAGCTTTGATTTATTATAACACTTCCATGCACACACAGTGAATACGATAATAATTATAAGATGACTGACAAACACTTTGAATAGTAGAGTTCAGACATAAAAGTACATCAACTAAGTTTGCCCTCTATATCGCTTTCATAAGACTATGTTCTTATTAAGCACCCATAAAAATATCCTTACCGTTTTTTCTCGCATCAAGCGGAACCCACTGAGTAAAGTCCATAGTTATATTCAGTTGACGTGCCCTTACGATATCCGTTGGCAATTCTGCTTCTGTAAATGTAACAAATAATGATCACATTTCACCTGTCTTGTCTAGACTGCTGCTTTGCATATTTTTACGAAATGGCATATCCCATGATTTCTCCTGTCCTGTCGGTGGTAACTCACAGAAAGAGTGTCAGATTCTTACTGTCTAAAAACCACGTTGTTTTTTTTACTGCTCTGAGTTGTTACATCTGTTTTATTCGGGTTCGTTAAGGCGCGTGGAACGCGGACCTTTCTCGCAGTTTGTTTAGTACATCACATTACATCATCAGCCTATAAGTGCCCAGTGCTGAGCAAAGGCCTTTTCTTACAAGGAGGTTTCAGCATTTATCACCAGGTTTATCAAGGCGGATTGGCGATTTCAAACTTATAATAATAGAAATTACAAGTCCAGGTTTCCTTCACCGCATGTCAGTGGTGTCTAAATAATCATAGAAAATACTTATAACTCGGAAAAGTCACACTGGTATTTGCCAGGTTTTGAACTCGGGAGAAGGAGGAGCCTTAACCTCCGGAACACCACAACAATTTAGTACATAACTGGTTCAAATAATACAAGTAGACAACATTATACTCACGTTGACATCCAATTAAAATCCATCCAGTAGTAAACAAGTGTAACAACAACAAAATAATAGCAAATTTCAAAACGTAAGGAGCCTTTTGATTCTGGAATTGTTATAGAGTTAAAATAACTGTAATAGGTACTTGTGTTGGATGAATACTTTATTTTATACAAGTTACAAAATGTACGTGGTATGTATCGTAGGATCAAATCGGATATTACAGACATGTGTGGTAGAGGTCTTAGTAGACATATTAAAAAGTCAATGAGTTAATTGAGTTGGTCCTTTTTGAAATCAGTTTAGAAATGTTCCTATGAACTGACTTCCAAAAGCACTGAGCCCAATTGACTCTTAGACTGAATATGAATTGCATTATTAAGTAACTAATCTAAGAGTTTACTTTATGGATTGGGCAAAAATGTTCCAGTGACATGGTATAAATATTGAAATAAATTCTACTCTTCATACTAAATAGCTTTGTATAAAAAAATAAATGAGTAAGTACCGAAAAGCCTCTGCAAAAATGAATATCAAAGTCCAAAAAGAATTTCAATCTCAGCAGTCTCGCCAGTTGATACCTCCAGTCATTAGTTAATATTGTGAATAGAGGTAAAAGTAGAGATAAACCATCTAAGTACAAAGTCCAATGTTTGAATTTCTTTGCACCAAAACGACGGTAAGCTAACTTTTTCTTAGCTACTATAAGTTCAGCCTGTAATTGTAATAAAGTTTCTGTATAATAACAATACTATTTTAAACTAAAAAAGTATCTATAGTAGGTATCATTCGTCAACTTACCGAATAAAATTCTGCTATAAAGTTGATCAAATCTATAAGATCCGTGACAGAGAGCAGTGCATATAATCGAAACCATAAATCAGAGTCCGGAGGCAGAAGTACGAATATAAGGACCGCAAAACTCGAGCAAAATGGACCAATTAACCAAGCCAAACATAGCCAGCGGGAATACCATGTTCCACCGATTGCCTCCAAGGGCACATCATGTCTCTAAATAAAAAAAAAACGCGTTAAAAAATTCGTAAAGAACATATAACCAGGCAGGTCAACCGAATTCTGCGGCAAAAGCAATGCGTCAGAATACACTTGAAACATTTTTGTATAGTTAAAATCATCTTAGCAATTTGTTTTTCCAAATAATTTCTATAAACCATGACGACATCAAAAAACAACCACATTAATAATATTCCAATAATTTAATAGAACTTACTGGTAAAATTATAGTTTTACGTCCCCGCAGAAGGTACGGAACTGAGTCATAAGGTTTTTCAACGAAAATATTTTTAGTTGCCATAAAATTATTCTTAGCTTGTCTACTTTTACTTATTTTATCTCGCATCTAAAAAACGTGAGTTTAAGAAATACATTAAAACAGGAATAAATAAAATATGTATCTCATAAACGCGAATATTGGACTTTAAGTGCACAATTAAATTTTTACATACTCTTCTTCCTTAGTTACGCGTCTATTATCGTTCGATACAATAACTTTGCATATCAATGTTTACATGTCCTTTTTCAAACCAAACTTAAAATATAAATGAAAAAAATCAAACCTTACCTCTTCAGTAATGATAGTCTGGAAGGCTGATATTTCAATCAATAGCAAATCCACGTAATCTTCGGCCACAGCAGTGACGCGTACGGGTCGTACTTTTACGCCTTCCAATTGACCGAATATGTCACCCTTATAATGATAAATTCAGTTAAGAGACTTTTTTTTGTCAGCGGAAAATCATCCAATGACTTCTCCCGCCCAGGGCCGGGCGGGAGGGAGTGTCAGACTAAAAACCCCCCCGTTCCTTCTCCTGCTCTGGGCCGAGGTCACGGTGCCTCATTGCGCTTACCCCGCTCGACTCGACTCGACCAAAGTGATACTTCGACCTCAAAGCAAACTGGCGAACAACAACTACAGCGTTTTGTTTCGCCGTGTGAGTGAGGTTACTGGAGGCGCCCATTCACCCAAACCCTAAATCTCCGAAAAACAATTGTAACTCTTCTGGTATTGACGGCGATGCCGATTGCTTACCATCAGGTATTTCGCCTGTTTGTCTATACCAAAAGAATAAACATGAATACCTAGGATAGGTATTTCTTACCTTAGTGAGTATAATAATTTGCTTGCCATCTTTGTAAATATTTACTCTTCCCCGGTGTACAATGCATATATTACGACAGATGTCCATTTCCCTAAATATTTCATATTTGGGCAAATAGTAAGCCACATCACTGACACTGGCCAGTTGTCTTTGTATTATCTCCCCGCCGCCAATTATTGTATCCAAAATAGTAAAAGTTCTACAATAAAAAGCAAATAATGTTACATTAAAACGAATTTATGTCACAGTTAAATGACCGTGACATAAAAAAAATTCAATGCTTTCAGTTCATCTTTTTTATGTTATCTGATAATATATGAGTAGAGGTTTTAAATAGAATAAATAAATAAACAAAGCAAGCACCTACAGGAAAATTAGAGAGTCGGAAAACTATTAACAGACGAACTTACTTTTTGTAGAAATAGTAACTTAAATCCTGTCTAAACACGGCACCGATACGTTCATTGGTTAATTGTTGTATGTTTATACCCTTGGTTCTGCAACAGAATTTCAAAATTACGCGGATCCGTTATCTTTATCATCTTATTCATCATCAGCCTATAGCCCACCTGTTCGAAGAGCAAAGGTCTCTTCCCTCACGCAGAAGGTTTAAGCATTAATCACCACGGTTGCTTAAGGCGGATTTGCGATTTGCGAAGTTATAATTAGGAATTAAAGGTTCAGGTTTGCTTACGATGTTTTCCTTCATGATATGACAGTGGTATCTAAATAATCATAGAAAGTACATATAGCTCGGAAAATGTCGCATTGATACTTACCTAGTTTCAAACGGTCACCTTCACCTCCAAGGCACTACAACATCTAATTACTGGCATTTAAAATTAATACAAAAAGTTATTACCTATGCCAAAAATATCGAAAGTGTTCCGTAACTCTGTCAATAATAGTATTCTCTACTCTTTCCGACTTAAGAAAAGTTTTGAGTTGGTATACCGAGTTTTGGAAAATTGTGTCTCCTCGAAAGTTTAGCACCAAAAGCGCTAATGATTGACACGATATAAACCTGAATATTATCAGAAAAAATATTTAATATTAACCTTTATGCATGAAGAAATAAAATACAACTAATTAAATAAAGCTCACCAAAAGGTCAAACCAATGGCAAATAGAAAAATTCCCACACCCACATTTATACGATCGATGATAAATCCGCCATAATTCATTCCCAACATACCACTTTCTGCTAGATTTAGACTTTGGGCGAAAATCTGAAATAAAAAAATAGCACTTACACTAAAATCTACATAGGTACATACTTAACAAAATGAGAAATAATTAGCATCTCAATTTATTAATGATGCAATGTTTTCGTAGTATACAATTTATAAGACAATGTTAAAGAAGTCTTAAGTTTCCAGTTCCAATTAATTATTTCATCAAAGGTGAAAAAGCTATCTTTTTCATCAAGGAAGAATAAACCAAATTAAACTAGTTTTATCCTTTATATTTCAGATTCATGGCCCTATAGTAAAAGACAAATAAGTATAGGTATACAAGCAAGAGGCTATAAGGCTATATAATTGCATTTTTAAAACATAATTTAATAATAGGTGCCGTAATAAGTTACATAAGACCTTTTTTAAAAAAAATGTAATATAATTCAGTAAATTGACGTACCAAATGCAGCTGGTTACCGTTTAACTTATTAGAAAAATTATATAACGAAGGCATCCAACATTCATTTCTGAGAATGACATCAACCAATTGCTTATTTTCATTAAAGTTAAAATGAACACATTTAACCATTAAGTAATGGCTAGATGCCAAAACAATTAATATATTCACAATTTGCCATTTAAATATCTGCAACATAATATTAAAATTATTTGTTGATTTGTACCTAATACGCGTTAACAAGTGTAGATTAAAGGGACCAAGCTACTGTTATCCTAAAGGTGCTCCCACACAGCAGTTATATAACGTTATACAACATTGTGACATTCATAACAGCGTGTAACAATACTCTACAACATGTTTAGAAATGTTATATGTTATAAACGCTCCCAAATTAGTTGAACTCGTTGTATAACATCGTATAACATTATGTTCAATCAGTTCGGGTTTTTCGAGGAAGGTGGTAGTGAACCAATATAATCAGTTGTAAAACATTTTGTTAAATGAAGTGTATAACATCAATAACAATTTATTATAATTTGTAACAATTTATAACATTTGTTATAATTTGTTTAAAAAAATCGGTCTCTAACGTTATATAACTGCTGTGTGGGAGCACCTTTAAGTTAACACCCTTGCTCTAGGCAATCATGAAGATCTAGATTTAATGGAATATATAGACTTACAATCGATTTATACAAAGAAATAAAATAGGCTTATAAAATAAAAATAGCACTAACTTTGTTTTTAAAATCAAAATATATAATACTAATGCTACATCATAGTACCTATGATAGGGTATGATGTGAAACTAATATAAATAACTAAATTAAAAAAGAAATAACGGAATTAAAAAAGTCAAGAATTAAAAACAATAAAGCAATAAATAAAACTAACCATAATGTAGGTACAGTTCAAAGTCGGTACATCCGTAATGTAATCAAAATATGCAAAAATTATATAAATATGGGCAAACTTGCTGACAGTATTCATAAGAAACGTCGTGTCATCGTCTATTTCATGTGATATAAGAGCGCGAAATACACTAAACCAAGGTAAAGCGCCAATTATATCTAACAAAAATCCTTTAGTCAGATAATTTCTCAAGCATAACGCCTTATCGGTAATACAAATTCCTCGTTTGTCATAATAGGGCAGCTGAAATTTAGTAATTAACATAACCATTTACTCTGTTTAAGATAAGATAATTGAAAGCCATTACGAGTGGCTGATATTATAAAATGTAATTCTTACACACAACTTAATGATGATGTCAACAAAAGCAATACAATCACAGAACGAGCTGATCATCATAAATCTCCATCGCGTCACAGCACCGACGCCACCTTCAAAAAACATAAAATTATAGGTACTTTTGACAAACATACGAGTTATAATTAAGCTACAAAAAATTATAACTTTCGTTGTTGTGTTATTTCAATGAAATTTAATCGATAAAGTTTATATTGAAACCTTGACAGTAGGTCTAGAAAAGGGTTTTTTTATGTAATAGGTCGGCAAAAGAGCAGGCGGATTACTTGATGGTAAACAATCAGCGCCGCCCATGGGCACTCGCAACGGAGGAGTTACGAGTGCGTTGCCGACCTTTTAGGGATTAGGGATTTGGAGATTTAGGGATTGAGGAGGGATTGGGGGAGGGGAAGGATTGGGCTTCCGGAAACACAACGCTGTGGTTATTTCACGCCGGTTTTCTGTGAGGCCGTGGTATCACTCCGGTCGAGCCGACCCATTCGTGCCGAAGCATGGCTCTCCCACACTTAATCAGATTACATAGTATGAATAAATATTAATAATTACCTAACACGGCTGCACTTATTATAGATATGCACACAATTATAACTCGAAACAACATCCACGACTGCATGAATCTGGAAGACAAAGCAAATAACCTAGGTTCAATGAGGTAGTGACTTCCATTTTTAGCCATTAATTAGGCAGGCTCAACCGAAAACCTCGAACAGAAAAATATTTTTTCCACCTTCTGTTTTATATTGAATTACTTATTAGTTTATATTTAGCATATTGTATGGTAATATATGTAAATATAAGATCTGTCAAATAAGTGTAACGGTAAAACGTTCGATACGTAATAATTCGTCAAGTGACTTGACGAATTATTGACTGCGCGGATGTCGCAGATCCGAGATTCCTGCACGGAATTACACATTGAATAACAAATTGTTTTTCTTGATCTGGGTGTCAGCATGTCATTTTCTGTGTTTATAAACGAATCCAAGTCATAGAACAAAATCCTGGTACTTATAGCAAGGTTTTTAAAATGTCGTGGTGGCCCGGAGGTTAAGAAGCCCGCTTCTCATGCATGAGGGTGTGAGTTCGAAACCTGGCAAGTACCAATGTGACTTTTTCCGAGTTATAATGTACTTTCTATGATTATTTAGACACCACTGACAAACGGTGAAGGTAAACATCGTGAGGAAACCTTTATAAGGGAACCTTAATTTCTAATTATAAGTTCGCCAACCCGCATTGAGCAAGCGTGGTGATTAACGCTCTAACCTTCTCCATATGAGAAGAGGCCTTTGCTCAGCAGTGGGCACTTATAGGCTGATGATGATGATGAAGGTTTTTAAAGTACCTAGATAAGTAAAACATATTATTTTATATTAAAAAATATTACCCTGACTCTGGATCTCCCCAAAAGTAACCTTCAACGGGTAACGATCGAGAGTCTTGAATTTCAGCTACAATTTTATTATTTGAAGAACTTCTTCTCGTTTTTGTAATGTAAATCCTATTTCTGAGTTTTTGTTGTAACTGGAATATGATTTCGAAGAGATAATGTAAGTAGAATATAATTTAGCTATAAAAAAATTAACTGTTTAAACTACTGTACACATGGGTACTAAAAAAATCTCACATCTCTACGTTTCAAGACATGCTCCTTGAATATATCGTTGTATCTACTTCCAAACTCTTTTACACAATTTTGTACATACATATATTCCTCTGGGTACTTTTTGTAAATATTCAAAAAATCTTTAACTGGTATATAAATTATCTGTAATCAGATCGAATAATAATAATTATTATTTGTTTCATATTACATATTTTGGGTAGTATAATTAATATTATTAATATTCACGCTTCCATTTTTATTTCCTTTACAAAGTCCATTCAAAGTTCTCTCGACCAAATTCTGTCTATACGACCACACTGTTACTTTACTCTTCAGAAATTGTGCGATAACAAACACAAAAAAATTTGGTCATCCCTTCTCCATTTTTACTTTAAAGTCGATTAAAAATGTGAGTCATAGAGCAAGTCCAGTGCGCCGGTGGCTTGTGTTGCCCTATGATGTAAGTAGTTGTATCTTAGTTTTCAACCAAATAATGATCGTTTGGTTTACAACTTATTTTTACTTATATTTTGTAATCGATTAATATACACACACATTTAAAATACTTGTAACTTACTTCACAATCAGTATACGCCATATAAGATCGCAGTGATACTCTGCCAAGGAAGATTTCAAATAAAGTTAGCAAAGAACCGGGTCCAAAGTATTCCGTAACCAACTCTCCATTTTCGTCAGAATATTCCGTTTTTGCATAACCCTAAAAATTTACGTTAATTTATAGCTTATTGAGTCCCACCTACTTTTGACTGAGAAAACTATGTAGGTAGCTGGTTTGTGAGAAGGTTTGTTCATTTGTTGTTTGTTTGTGAGCAGTACTAAAAACTTATGTAGTTCAATCCAATACACAATTATGACGCATTTTCAGAATACTTAAATAAAAATTAAAAATAAACTCTAATTTTAGGTTCATAATAAACTAAGTGTTCTAGTCAAGGTACCGCTAAGTACATGACTAAGCTGTAGATATGTTTACCTGTGCAACCCAGATAACATTTTTGCATTGAACTCCAAACATTTCCATGTTAGAATTTTTGGGAAGAATCAAATAATTGGTTGCTTTACTTAAATCCCTTATAAGGTGAAGATCAGCGTGCAGGAACGGCTTAGATTGGCTTATGATTGATTTTGACAAGTTTCCTTGGGCTTTCCAGTAGATTGCTCTTGCGTCGTTTTCTAATTTATTTGTCTCCAAAACGTCTGCACCTTTATAATATTTCCAATGACATAGGAGGTACCTATCCAGCCTCTTAAGTAAAACTTGATGTATTCTATAGTGTTCATAATACTTCTTAATTTGTATGACGAAACTCTGGTATCTTATCATATTCGTGTTACGCAAATATAAATAGGACAAGTATCTTCCTTTGCAATACAAACACAAAATAAAGATTACAAAACTTATTAATGTAGCCACGTATACATCAATCAAATTTGAAGGAGAATGTTCAGCATAGTTATACTCGAACAACCATGAAATAGTAACTCCACTTATATCTGGTTCAGTGCAATTTGTGGTATGGACCCTAGAGCATATTCGTTTACCAAAAAAGTAAATTATGGACAGTTTCGGAAAGTAATAGAGCATGTCAAACAGAAAATGACTAGTAACAATGTGGAAAGTGAGATGAGCCAACACCATTTTTTGAAAAATATCAATCATAGGATCATGATGAACGTCCAATTTTAAATACTGTCCATAAAAAAGTATGTAAACTTTAATGACCCTGTTAAATTGAAGAGTATAATGAAGTTCGGGCGAGGCTCCCCAAAGTTCAGCGATGTCTTCAATCCAAATTGTGGATAATATATCAAGAAAAAAAGTAACACTCTTACAACGTTCAAAAATAACTGAGGAAAACGTATTTGTCAGACTGTTGTGTTTCTTTACAGCAGTCATGAGGGACACACCTATGTCAAAAATATAAATAGTATCAGTGCAAAATGTAAAAAACACGAACCATGGTGGTACATGGGCTTTAACTAAGTTTTTTGGATACAATAACAGTACAAGGAGGACTGTAGCAGAAAGAATTCGGTACCATATGCGACCGAATTGGGAACGATCATTAATTATCCACGGAAATTTAAATTTGGTGAACATTGAATTTGTTCGTAATTCAGTCTTATTACATAGAACAAGTTGTCCTATATATTTAGGGCAGTGATAAATCGTTTCGTCATGTGGTAAGCTGCTCCCTATGCTTGCTTTAAGCTCATCTGGCATAAGGTTGTAAGATTCAAAGAAGTGAAATAATTCCCACCATCGCTTAGTTATCCAACAGATTCCTTCATCTTCATTTCTATCAATTCCTCTAATATTTTTTTTGTTCGCAAATAATACTTTTGCGTGAGACAATCTGCCCCGGGCATCATTCATAATTACTTTTCGGTCGTCTGGATATAAGTGTAAAGCTCTTATCATAACAACTCGCTCGACATAATAGAATTCACAATATGTGAGACAACGAACTCTAACCTTCCGTTTCACATGAGGCGCAAAAAAACTTATGTCTCCAAATATAGTTCCAGCTGTGACAGAGAGAATCGGCGACATTCCATCATCCAAAGAAATGAGCTGGAGTATTCCAGATTTCAGGTAATACAACGAACTTTTATTATTTAATCCCGTGAAAAAATTCTCACCAGGCAACTTAAAACTCAAAACTGTTAGGTTAGTTATTAAACGTCGAAACGGATAGCTTGTTTTCCTCAAAGTAGGGCTATGGTAAAATAATGGCCAAAGTAAATCCTGCATAATTTCAAGTCTTAGATATCTAGGAAGTGCAAAAAAAAACTGAGGCATTTTTACGATACAACGCTGTTTTTCGTACAACAATTTATAATATTCTTTAACTATTTTCGCCGAATCATCATTAGGATTTCTTCTTTCAGTCTCATCAATAATTTTTTTCACTCTCGAATACAAAGAGTATATTTTGCGAATTCTAAATGTCGATTCTGCAAAGGACTTTGGTACTAATATCAAATTTCCTAGTACGTAACTCAAAACCATAAGTAGACACACCACCATATATTCTAGAATCGTAGATGGCATTAGATCGTCTATGTACATATTAACAATATAGGAATATATAAATACTACTCCGTAAATAAAAGTTGCATACTTTTCGTCAGTTTCATTAAGCTAAAAAACAAATGAATAATTGCATTTAATTCATAACTATGATATCATAACTCGACAATAGACAGACAGAGTAAATTGATATTTATTACCTTATGTGATATGTATGCTCTCCAATCAAAATAAACGCCTTTATCGTTACAATGGTCACAAAAACCTTGATATGTTACTAGTAAAAAGAAGCACGCAATGCAGTTGATACACATGCCCATCACAAGTGAACCACCCACCAAAAGCTTTAAGTAGGAATGAGTACATCGCAATTCAAAATAGTCTATTATTCGGTAAATACTGAAAAAAAAGATAAAGATGCTTTATTTTGTTAAAATAAAATAAGGCAAAACTAGATTTGTTTTTTTTATGTTCTAGGACAACTAGGTAGGAAATGAGTAGGCATGTTCTCCGATGGTAAGCAACCGGCGACGCCCACACACAGAGGCACACCTCTGACACACAGAGGCCGTCAGAGGTTGATGATTTGAGGATTGGGTATTAGGGAAGGGAATGATATGGCTTTGTAGATTTTTTTCAATGATAAAAACATTGCAATTGTTGCAAAAGAGCCTCGGAGTACTCATCGCAGCTACTGCAGTATTTGTATTGTAGTACAATTTGAGAGCACTTTCATTTGCAGATAAAAATCCCATTAAAGGATTATGGATATTTACTTTCCATGAAAAGGAAACAGCAAAGTATTATATGTACATTTATTTTGTTAACAAAAATGTCAGAGTGGCAAATGCAGTTCAATACTCTACTACTCGCTACTCAAATACTTATTTTCGACGTACTTACATTAAAAATTCATTAAATGCTAGTATATTTGGCCAAACTTGAGCCGTTGGGCAAGGATTCTTTACAGCTAATCGAAACAGTGGAAGTAGAGAGAAAATATCAACCAACAACCAAAATGCCGATTTTGGCAGATGTTCGCGTCTCACAGCCTTGTCCACAACTTGCCTAGAACAAAAAAAATATTATCCTGAATGCGTCCTGTATTGTTTATTATAACAGGAATAGACGTTACTTCTACGTAAAATAAACTTTTATAGATAAGAAATGTGAAGATTTGAGGCAATTATCCTACGTGTGAATGCTTTAATATTTTCACAATAAAATAAGTAAATCACTGCCAATTTTTTCAGTATCTTTTATTCAGCCGTTATTAAATATTGCACTATGTCGGCAGTTTACCAAATTGTAATACTTATGTATGTTTATTTTTTGGCTTTCGATTTTATTTACAGACATTGCAGCTCGAAACTTCGAATAGAGATAATTATTATTTTTGTACCATTAACAAGTCAAAAAGCTTTGCTTATTAAACAAAAACTAATGAAATAGCTAATTAAAAACTTTCGTACCTGTGCACTATGTGGAGAAAAGTATCAATGCCATAAATTACATCACACAAATACCAATAGGAATACTTGATACAGATCAAAACTGGATGGTAATCCATGACATCGTTGCAATAAATTATTGGGTATACAGCTTGTATAGGGCCCTGTAACAATTTAAACAATATTATCAAAATTATTGTGGGTCAGGGAGTATATTTAAGGAATAAAATATGAGAGTTATAATTCAAAAATATCTTACCAGCATTACTTTTATAAAGACAGTTACTAGCACAAATAACTTAAACACTGGATGAAACGGGAGAAATATAAGATTGCTCCATTCAATTTCAGGTTCTTCCGTTGCCGTTAATCCTTCTCTTTTACTACCATCTTGTGTTGTTTTACTTAGTTTACCTATAGAGTGTCGTTTTCTAAGTGGATCTTGGTATGTCTCACTTCTTGGTAAAGACATTTTATCGTATTTATATATATAATTATAAACATTTAAATCGTACACCCTTTAATCACATACCATTGACAAAGCATTGAAAATAGAAATGTCATTAAAAATATATCCTGTGTTTATGATTTTTAATGTTTTTTTATATTAAAAAGGTTTTTTTAGATTACATAAGTCCAACATTTTTTTTTACCTTTAGCCATGTATCCTCAACCATACCCGAAATATAACTAACAAATTCTATTTTAAAAATAATATTTGTAACGGTATATGATAGTCGAGTACTACTTTGTACAACATCATATTATTCGATTACTGAATCTAACATGATTTCGTGAACTTGTAAATGTTCAGGTGTGTTTAATATTAATTTGACTAACTTGGCTACATCCTTTACTTGAAGTTTTGGGGCATCAGTCACCGTTTCGGTTATACCTTCAATTGACCCACAAGCAATATTTGTAACCTTTATGTTAGCCTTTAAGAAGCGAAATTCATGACGAAGAATTTCATTTATAGATGTTGTTGCCGCTTTAGTTGCAATGTAAACAGATTTTCTTGAATCTCTTGGTATTTCGTACGAAATAATGTCGTTCATACTAATTATATGTCCTCTCGTTTGACGTTCTATCATAGATCCTGCAGCTAGTCGTATACAAGTAATCAAAGCATTAATATTGATGTCAATAAAGTTCTTAATATCTTCTGTTGTCCCAGTACAAACTAAACAATCAATGTCGTATTGAGCATTA